GAATAGTGCTCTTATACAAAAACTATATCAGTCTGTCCTTACACATACATCTACTAGAACGCTAGTGGTATACTTCTTAACTTTATCATGAGTGAGCTGCAATAAATAAAGTATTAATGATGGTATATACCATTCGCCGATTTAAATAACTTTTGATCAAAGTAATTTTTACTAAAAAATGCCGAGTTCCCTTGAGCAATATGCATAGGCACATTGTAAAGTTTGTAGTTAAGGTGCCTAAGATGTCTGTAAAAAAGCAGCCCACCTGCTCTAGATGTGGTTTTAGCGTGGCAGAGAGTGACCGAAAGCAGGTGACCCGAGCAACCAGGGTCTCCTGACCCAAGGAAATATGAAACAGCGTCTTAGAGGAGACCGGTTTACGTGTGAAGTAAGGCACCTTCTCAATATCAGCAAGAATGCAAGCGAAACTCGGATAAAGCAACCCTGGCGCTGCAATTAGACCATATTCGAGAAGACGTGAATCAAGTTGCGTCACACAAATGCCGACACGATCCCCCTGAAAAGCAAGGAAGAAGTATGACTTATATTTAAAACGTAAACATGATGTAGAAATTGCGAATTTGAGTGCTAAAATGCATAATAAATAGACCAATGAGATAAAGTAATTAGGTATATTAAGGCATGGTACAGGCTCAAGGGTATAATTATCCTTGCGCAACATATGATAGTTGTACTTAATTTGAATAGGAGAAAATGGAAAGTATCCTAGGCGACCGGAAAACTTATCAAATACTAAGAAAAAATCCAACAATAAAGCCTAATGGAATACTGAAGGAAAGGGAAAGATATAACAACGAATAAATCGATAGATGAATGATGAATTCGCCAATACAAAATGACGCAAGCCACCGACAGTCTACGAACTATAAAAGATATACACGGAAGAAAAACCACTAAGGTCAATAGTCAACAACAGGTATGGAGCGATACAAACTAGCGAAATTTATATACTTGAAGCTTAAGAAAGTAAACGACAGACTCTTGAACACCGTGAAGAATTCATATAAATTTTCTTAAAGGATCCAAAATATTGGACTGGCAGGGAAGGAACTGTTGGTAAGTTTTGACGTACAAGCCCAACTACACAAATGTCTCAGACAAGAAGGCGGTAAGCGCCCTG